CCCCGTGACAGCTGGGATAGACTCCAGCGCCCCCCACGACCCTGAAAAGGATAAGCGGAAGCGAATGGATGGATGGTAGAAACAGAGATTTAATTCCATATTGTGCTGGTACCCACAAAAGTAACCATAAGTCCCATCAAACTGACTCTGTAAAGTGTTTGATGAATCTGCATTGTATGTGAGTTTAAAATAAAAACCGCGTCCTTTTTCTTCTGACCTGATCCAGATTAAATTGAGTTGCTTTCCTACTCACCGTCCAGCCAAAGCTCTGTATTCCTCTTTTCTCTATTTCCCAGCTAATCTTGGATGATCTTGTTCATGTCCCTGTAGATTTGCCCAGTAGTTGAGTGTTAGCTGCTCTCTTCGGATTTTATCCTGCTGAATTATATGCTATACACCTGTAATCTAATACCTAACTAATAGTAATATTTGACTGTCTGTTAAAAAGACAGAAAAATACAAGTACAACTGACCATTTATACTAATTAATAGACCTTCTCTCCACATCATATGCTTTTTCTATATAAAAGAAAACTGCCAATACACTCTCTTTGTTTACCTGTGGCTTAAGGATGCTGGATCCACATCTCCCTCTTCTAAAACCACTCTGATATTTCGCCATAAATCCTTTATCCTTTATTTATATAGTATTTCATTTTTCATTCTCTCCATTATTTTGCAGACATTAGATGTTAAAGTTATTGGTCTGTAGTTTCCTGGTTTTGTATCATCCTTCCCTGTTTTATGTAAACCATTGTATAACAAACCTGATCCTTTGTCTTTGCAAACGGTATATTCAAGAAATCCTTTGTGTCATTTTCTAGATCTGTAATGCCTCTACCTATTTTCCCGTCGTCACTATTGTTATTTAAACGAACTTTAGCAAAAGTTTCTAGTAGCACACCTGCCTTTTCTTCATGATTCTCTGCTGCAGCTTCCTTGTCATTTTTAATGGTTCTTCTTACATTAGCCTGTGACCTTTTATGTTCAATAATATTCTGAGAATTCTGATTCCTTTTTAATATCTTAAAAGCTTTATTTCAGCTCTTAATTGCTTTATCACATTCCTTTGTTCCCTCGGGTACAATCTTCTTTTTACTCTTATCTTCTTTATACTCTTGTTTGCTGCTTCTTCAATAGCATTGCAGACAGAAGAATTTAAATCATCATTATTAACATTCATACAATTTTTTTTTGCATCTGCTGGTCACTAACAAGTCTAAATGTCTTCCAATCTGCAGAACTAAAACATTGCTTTTTGTACGCCGCCTGCATGACACTCCTCTGTAGTTCTGTCATTTCCTGCTCTTGTTTCTTTAACTACCTGCCATGAACAAACACATACCAGTGAACCTGATACTAATGTCAGATCAACTGGTTATTCCGTACCATCGAGGACATTGCTTCTTGTACCACTTCCATCATTTAGACGTACCAGATTTTTCTTCTTCTTTAATTCTTCAGTTACTGCTCCTTTTTGATCATTATGTTTTATTTCTGATGTAAGTGGCCTGAAATGTTGGGATATTAAAACAAAAAGATACAGACACAACTGCTATTAAAAGACTTCCATCTCTAAGGATTTTAGATAGTGTGACCTCTCCTAACCTCTTTTTCAGTTCGTGCAAAAAAATTATTGGGCTCAACTGCACCCCCCCATCCTCCTTGCTGAATTTTAGGACTATTTTAAACTCTTCTCTTATCATCTCTTTCCAGACTACACTACCTTCGTCTGAACTATTTTCCTCTAAATTTTTGTTTGCTGCTCTGTGTTCCTAATAAATTTCCATCCACTCTTTGTTTCTCTCTTCGTGACTCCTTTTCACCAACCGGCATCAACTCTCCCTAATCCATGTCGTCCTCATCCTCTACCTGAAATGTCATTCTAGTCCAGCCACACACCAGCTTATGCCAAGCGCAAAAATCTGTGATCCAAATCAGGAGGGCGTATCGATCCAGTTATCGATACCAAAATTGGTATTGGCATTAGATCAGCACTATTGCAATAGGATCAATACTTTGTTTCTGTCCTCCAAGTTCAGCAAATAGCCCACTGAATTGTGTTAAATCTATTATTTATTAGGAAATGAAAAAAATACACCTCAAACATGGACTATGAAAAATATCTCACCCTTTTGTATTGACTGTCACAACTATTTTATATAGCACATTTAAACAACAGAAGCTGACCCAACGTGCTTTATAAACACGCCTATTTACATTACAGGTCTCAAAGAACCCACATTTTGAAATACATGTGTGTTGTGTTTTGCTGTGTTAACTAAGTATTGTAGAAATTAAAATTCTGAGTGATTTAGTGGTCGATGACGATTCATCTCATAAATCATTACACACTGCACTTCCCTACATAAGCTGCCTTTATAAGTTAAAAGTATCAGTACCGGCAATACTGACCCTGTATTTATTTGATATCGGATCGATACCGACGTTTGCAGTATTGCACAGCCCTGACGTAGTCCAAAAACCAAAAAAAACTATGAATCACTTTTGTCTGTAGTTTAAATCTCGCGCCGTCACGTTCTTTCCGTCTGCAAACCTCTACTTCTACACGCACTACTACTATCTCTACTACTGTTAGGGCCACATTAAAAAAAGGTTAGTTTCTATTTTGGGATTAAGGTCGATACTTTGAGTTTAGAAACATTATTTGAAAAAGTTTTTCTTTTCTTAATGTGGCCACAAGACCCGGCCTCAGTGTCCACGGAAGTTTCAGAAAATCCTCGTCCTCGGGGAACCCCTGAATGCATCATTACCCGGGGAAATCAAACAAGTCTCGCAGTTCTCTGTGTTCGGGTAAATAAATAAATAATTTCTCGCTGTAGTTTGAAGTTAGAGCGAGTAGTTAATATTTTTTTCTTATCTATGCTGCTTCTTTATTAACTACTTAATTACTACTGCCTTGTAATTTCAAAGAGTTAAGCGAACCGCAGTAAGTGACGCGTTAAGCTAGTCTGCTAACCTTCAGCTGATGCCTGCAGTCGGGTAAAATGTGCTCGGGTTGTCCTTCCTGATCGTTTCTAAAAGAACATTAATGTCGTGCCAAACTCAATTTAAAAAGTAATTTCTTTATCGCCAGGTCCTGTTTGGTTAGACACAGCGTAGCTGTAAGTTGGATATTCAATTAAGTGAGAGAAGTCAATAACGTTACACCAAGCGACTCCTATAATTGGCCTTGCTTATCTTCTAACTGCAGAAAACACTACGGTGGGCGGTAACAAGCACTGCGCACTGTTTATTCAAATAAGAATTTCACTGAAATAAGGCTTGCTGGTTGGACTGTGTTCAAGTCGAATTTACGAAAACGCCTTTACCTGTTGCTTTAGGTTTTGATTTTCAGGTTTACCTAATAATTTGTTAATTATTTAAGAAGCATAAAGACTTTTGTTTCAAATCTTGTTGAGTGATGATGCTCTTGTTGTTCTTGTGTCACACAATATGTACAGTAACCTCCGTGGACATGTGATCATGGGCAGCCAAAGTGACTGCACCAGTGACCCAGATGAGGAGCTGCCTGTGTTTGACTTCCTCCAGCCAGCCTCCCACAGACGTGCAGAGAAACCAGACTTGGTCGACTTTGATGGTTCTGATGCTGCAGCAGCAGCTGTCTCCTCCCCAGGGAGGGGGAGTGGTGGCGTGTGCATGGGAATGGCTAATGTAATGATAATCAGCAGCAGTTCCGATGATGATGATGCACCTTATGTTCCTTTGGCACAAAGAATCAAGGCAAGGCGAGACAATGTGATTAGCGCCTCCACCATCGTGACTAACGAGAACGATGCTGAGCACTGTTTGCCGCTCTGTCTGACCAGCTCACAGTTTTCTGGCCAGAATGGCTTTTCAGAGTCAGAGTGCCCGCTCGGCTCACATCAGGTGAGAAAAATGAGCTGTGGACAGGAGCTTCCTCTGAACGGAGCAAGGAACACAGACACTTCTCCTTCCAAGAGGAAACTTGGCAAGCGAACGGTTGAGGAGATCCAGGCCTCCAGGGAAGTGGCTCTGAGTAAGAGGGAGGCTAAGAAGAGACAGCAGCCAGACAAGGATGTGCTCAGGGAGGGACGAGAGAGACAGAAAATGGAGAGGAAAGCTCTGGCAGAGGCAGCTAGGGCCCTGAGGCCAGAGGAATGTATCAAGCATATGGTGGTGGTGGTGGATCCAGGTAAAAAGAAAACATTAAATTATACTTGGCAATGTAGATAAATGCAGATCATTACAAATTTTATTTTAAACTGCACATGCAGCCAGTCTTTCATCTGCAGTATTATTGAAGTCATTAAATGTGCTAATTGTGGCTGTAATTGTGCTGAGTGTGTTTGTGTGTGCAGCTCTCCTACAGCTGGAAGGAGGCGGCACTTTGCTGGCCTCGTTACAGGCTCTGGGTTGTAGCTGCGCCATCAAGAAACAATCCCTCCCACGCAGTGTGAGCTGGATGAGAAGAGCTCCCTGTGCGCAGGTGATAAGACACATGCAATATTTTTCTCTTTACCTCACTTTACTCAAAGTGAAGCATGAATGTGAACTTGTCAAATTTGCCGTAATTGCCATAAATGAATGAGAAGTGGTTTCATGAGTGCTTATTTAGCAGTAACACCTTTTACTATCTTTGCCATGTTTCAGGGAGATGAAGGAGCATCTGTACCAGAGGCCAGTGTTGTGATACAGATGACAGTGGAGGACTTCATTACTTTGATCCACAACTATGTTCAGGTTTGTTGTGGGTGCTGATGGTATGCTTGAAGGTATGCTTCTTCTACTGACTTCTGACTTCTTCTACTGTTTAGAAGAAGTCTAGATGAAGCATAACTGCATCTGATCAGAAACTAGGCGAGTTTAGGAACAACAGGAGGAAAACGGAGAAGGCAAAAGGCAAACGCCAATTAGAAAATGACATTAGGTAATGTTAAAGGAGTTATGTATTTTGGCCATTAGGGTAAAAAAACCCACAAATGATAAAAACTTCCATCGGTCCATTAAAAAAAAAAAAAGATCAGATGGTTCAAACCATAAAAATTCTCTGTGAGACAACAGTAACCATAGAACAATAAAAATACGAGGATGAGTGTGAAAATATTTTGAGAAAAATATTTATTTATTCTTTACTTATTTAAGAGGGTGAGTAACATACTTCCCTTGACCTACAACCATTCATGTAACTATTTAACTTTTTTCTCTGCTTGTTCTATCGCAGTGCTTTCTAACATTCACACACATTCATACTCCAATGGCTGCATTGGAACTTTGGGTTACTATCTTGCCCAAGGATATTTGGCATGGAGACTGGGACAGCCAGAGATTGACCCACCAACCTTCCGATTAGTAGCTTTATAGCTATTGCTAATTTCTACCCTTAGAAAACCAGTGGCACCTGCAGTGCTGCTTATATGTACAGCTAGTGTGAGCTTAAACATTGATGACATCCACGTTTTGTACATCAACCAAGAAAATTAGATTATGCTAAACATGTACAAATGGTCAACTCCAAGCTAACGAATTCCCCATAAAATGTAAAATATGTTTAAAAAAATTACAAATATAGTACATTTAACAAAAGACCTACTACATTTCTGAAACAGGTAGTTTTAGCAGTAGTTTTCAACAAACCTTACTAAGACTAGGGTAAATTATGTATTTGTAGCCAACTGTTTTCAGTAGTGGATTCATATATTCTTGATGGCATAGAATGATTTTTGTTGCAGAAAGACACTGAGATGAAAGGTGTTGTCTTATTTATGTTTTTTAAATAACATGTACAACACTGGAGCTTCAAGGCACAGAGAAATAACAGGTATGAGGCTTTCAATATTCAATACACACAATCATAAATTGTGTGTATTGAATATATTGTAATTGTGAGCGTGGCGAAAAACTGACGCAGAAAATTGCTTATGCAGGACATGGCAAACAAGAAAATATGTTATTACATGTAAGAAATAAAGGTAAACGTTTACATAATTTTCATTCTTGTCATTAGTTGCATAGTATAATTAATTTGAAAGAGTTCTAATTGCATATCAATAGAGTTATTTTTTTTCCTAATATCTACCTCCCTGTCTAATCCAGAATGAGAGGCATGGCAGATCAGACTGTGGGTCCACATTGACATCCTGGGTCCAGGAGCAGCAGAGGCGTCACCTTGGCAAGACCCTTAGCCTAGCAATTATTGAGCTTGAGAAATACTTCAGGTAAGGATTTGAAGGTTGAGCTGTAGAACATTTTAAAGGATAATTTGGTTATTGTTGCTCTATAGTATGTGCTATCGTTGTATTTAGCCCCTCTATTAATGGGATAGTTGTTCATCTGGCTCAGGATCCATCAGATTTTAATTAATTTAATTATGAAGTTCCACAGGGTTCCGTGGTAGGACCACTTCTGTTTACATTACAAGTGCTTCCCTTGGGCAGTGTAATTAGAAAGCTCAGCATACATTTTCACTCCTGTGCAGCTGACTTTATCTATCTATGAAACCAGATAAAACAAACCAGTTAGATAAACTGCAGGAATGTCTTCATGACATAAGGACCTTGATGACCTAAAATGTTTTGCTTCTAAATTCAGCTGAGGTTAATGTACTCAGCCACCAAAAATCTCAAAAATATGGTCTCTAACCAGGTGCTTACTATGGGATGGCATTACTTTGACCTCCAGTAACACTGTGAGGAATCTTGGAATCTGTTTTCACCAGGATATGTCCTTCAATGCACGTATTAAAAAAATATGTTTGACTTTCTTCCATTCGCAATATCTCTAAAATTAGAAACACCCTATTTCAAAGTGACACTAAAAAACTAGTTCATGCATTTATTACTTCTAGGATGGACTACTGTAATTTGTTGTTATCAGGATGTCCTAAAAAACTCCCTGAAAAGCTTTCAGTTGATCCAAAATGACTGGGAAAGAGAGCATATTTCAGACGATATTAGACTGGAGGCTTACTTATGATTCCCAGAAAGTTTAAGTTAAAAGTAAGAAAGTAGAATGGGAGGCAGAGCCTTCAGCTTTTAGGCCCCTCTTCTGTGAGACCAGCTTCCAATTTAGATTCAGGAGACAGACAGCCTCTCTCTACGTTTAATATTAGGCTTCAAACTTTCCTTTTTGATAAAGCATATATTTAGGGCTGGATCAGGTCACCCTGAATCCTCCCTTAGTTACACTGCAATAAGCCTAGGCTGCTGGGGCAGTCCCATGATGATGAGTTTTTCCTTCCCACTGTCACCAAAGTGCCTGCTCATAGGGGATCATATGATTGTTGGGATTTCTCTGTATTTCTTTGTGTTTTTGTCTTGTATTTGTCTTTGCCTTACAATATAAAGTGCTTTGAGGCGACTGTTGTTAAATTGAATATATCACCAAATAGATAGTCTCTCAGGCTTTATTACTTTTCTTTCTCACTATGAAAAAAACTTTTTTTTAATGATCACTGCCAGAAACAACACCACCCAGTCATGAAAGCTCTTATTAAAACCCATTTGATGTAAAATGCAAAAGAATATTTTTTTGAAACCTATCTTCTTTAATGTATTTTTCAAAAGTATCATGATCCATTTTAAAGTTGGGACCCCCCCACCCCCCGCCCCAAGGAAAAAAAGGCTCATTTTTTAAGTTGAATAATTTAAAAGCCCTATGACTTTGACTACATCAACACTTGTGGTGGTATCTGTTTCTCAGGAGGCAGAAGGTCAGGAGATTGATTCCACATGCCCAAGTGTCCTTGAGCTACATGCTCACCCCAGAGCAATGAACTGTGACTGTGTGGGTCTGTCAGTAAGCTGTATGAATATGTGTGTGAATATGAATGTGGCTGGTGGTAAGAAGCACTTTGAGTGCTCAATTAGAGCAGGAAAGCTGTATGTAAACACTAAAGTAACATCTGGAACTGAATAAAAAAACTGAAAGATACTGAAATTAAAATGATAAATATTTACCAAAATTGGGAAATTAATGTGTTACAATTACCAATTAAATACAAAATACAAATAAACGAGTACCCCCAATTAATCAAAATCTAAAAATGATACAATAAGGAACTTAAATGTATATGCAATGAAGTGGTAAAGATTTTCTGTATCTTTGCGACAACCGAGCTAAAACGCAGAGAATGGTCTGTCCATTACACCGGTTTTATGGTCCTACAAAGGTGTCTCTTTGTGTAACTTGCATAATAGTATAGAGTAAAGTGCTTCATAAAGTGTTTAAAAACAACAAGGCAAGCACTCAGAAACTGCATAACTGCGAAAACACATGGCTGTCTGAAAATATGGCAAGCATCACTGTGTAATCTGGAAAACCTCTGGTGGAAATGCTGTGAGGAATAGGTGTGAAGAGAGTAAATGCATCAATGAAGGTCCTGAGCATTAATGTCTAAAATGACCAAAAATGTTTTTTCCCAAGATCACAGAAATCACAAAAACAGAAGCATTTTCGAGAGGCTGTTGCAGGGGAGGAGACGGGGGGAAGTAAAGCCAAGAGGAGAAAGAAGAATGGTGGAGCTTGTGTACTGCCTGAGGTGTCGCGAGTTGACGTAGAGGAGGTAGGTTAGGTGGTTGACACAGGACAATTTATAATTATATAGAAAAAATATAAAATTAAAGAGCTTTTGTATTAATTAAACAATTCCCACGCAACTGAATCAATATATCCCTTAAATATAATAGTGGATAATGTGTGAAAAATGAACGTACATGGCCATGTGTGGAAAAAGTGATTGCTACCCCTAAGAAATCATTTAAATGGAAACTGCATGACAAAGTGGAGTAGACCAAAAGATCCTAAAAAGCCAGACATCATGCTGTAATCCAAGGCAAGTCAGGAACAAATGAGAAATAAAGCCATTGAAATTCCAGTCTGGAAGTAATAAATGCATGAACTAGTTTTTCAGCGTCACTCTGAGACAGGATATTGTGCAAATGGAAGAACGCAGTCTAACATATTTGTTTAATATGTGCATTGAAGGACATGTCCTGGTCAAAAATGACTCCCAGCTCCCTCACAGTGTTACTGGAGGCCAATGTAATGACATCCATAGTAAGCATCTGGTATGATACCGTATGACTTTTAAGACCGAGTACCATAACTAGGGGTGGGTTTTATAATCGATTCATCGATTAAAATCGATTCTGGCTTGGATAACGTAAAATCGATTCATTAAAATCCTGAATCGATTTTCTAATATAAATTTATTTTGCCCAAAATGCCAGAATCTCTGGTGACATCTCACAAAATTTCAAGAACCATCAAACAGTTAAGACAGTAAATGAGAGCAGGTACACGGATTCTGTACATAGACTTAAACACACAGCGCGACCCGCGGATCAGAATCAGTTAGATGTCGCCTTTCTCACAGTCGGGGCTGAAAGCCGACAGCTCGCTGATTCTGATCCGTCGGCGGGTC